AGGGCAAAGTTTTGCTGAGATTTAGTTTAACACCACAGTTGCCTAAGAGTGTGCCTATATCTTTTGAGACGTCTGGTGTCATCTGTTTTCCAAGGCTGTAGTGGTCAAGGCCTTATTCTATGTGTGGTGAGGGGAGTGAGTGTGTCCAGGGAGGATGGGAACGAGCTGTTGTAGACAGAAATGGCCAAGTCTTAGAGGTAGTCAGTTTTAGAATAGAGAAGAGAAGGGTTAACGTGGCTAAGGTTTCTAGGGTAACTGATTGACAGTTGGTGGGATGAAGAGGTTGAAGACATGGAGAGTCTAAAGCTAATAAGGTTGTGATCACAGAGAGGAAAAAGAGTGTTAGAGAACAGGGATGAGCTCAGGCATGTTCAGACACAAATCTGAACCCACCTGATGCTATCCTGGCAGGAAGCTGTCAAAGCATACAGCCAACTAAAGGCAGTAGAGGCCTGCTTCCCCCCAGCAGCCACATGCATACATGCCTTGTATATATGCAGCTGTGGGGCATGCCTCTGCTGCCCTTTTTATATGTTGTCCTCCTTGACAGCTGCTTGGTAGGATAGCTCACGTGGGTTCAGACTCATGTCCAAACCCACCTGAGCTCATCCCTATTAGTGTTAGGGATCCGGGTATGACCAGAAATGTGTGGACTGACACAGCACGGATTTCCTCAGGGCGCAGGGTCTAAGTCCCAGCCTGCTATTCACCAGGGCCCCTGATGGTGGGGATGGACTTGGTGCAGACTGGAACCAGGTTGCGACCCCTGAGTGCGTCCGGCTGTGGTAGAGAGTACTGGCAGGGGAGTGCAGGAACGGAGTCTGATGGGAAGAGGCAGGCAGACTTACTAGAGGTGATCCGTGCAGGATGGATGGATCAGGCAGGGTTGGCAACAAATCAGATAGTCGCAGAACAGGAACACAGGATGCAGGTACAGGGACTCATGGGAAACAAACACCAAGGCCCAGATCACAGGCCATGGTCATTCCTTAAATACACCTCCTGCAATCAGCCCCAGGTGTTGGCTGACTGCAGAAGTGAGCTTCTGGCTGCTGAGAGCACCCGCTGGTCAGCCCTGGTACTGCAGCCCACACAGCAGGTGAGTCCCACCACCAGTGCTGAGTCCATTCCTGACAATTAGAGAGCTTGCAAGGAGTACAAAGATAGGATAACACAAAGTCAACAGTGTTGCCATTAGTGGGAGTAGAAGTGTCTGTCCATTGTGTTAGCTCAAAAGAAGACGTGAGGCTGAGAAGTTGAAAAGTAGCCGGAGTGTTAACATTAACATGGTTGTTGAAGTTGACAAGAATGATGGTGGGTATTTCAGAGGAGAGAAAGTAGGGTAGTTAGGCAGAGAAGTCATCAAGGAAGCTTGATACCGGTCAGAGGTCAATAGATTAGTGCAATCCTCAGAGAAACTGGTGAACATAGACACATCCAGTGAGCTTCAAAAGAGAAGAGCGACAGATACAGAGGTGAGGGATGAACATGACTGAAGAACATGCAGAATATCAAGGCTAGTACTTACCGCCTACACCTTAAAACAACCACCCCCCCCACCTGAATAACCATGCGACTCCTTTTTTGGTAAAAAAAAACGGCCATAGCAGCCCCATTTATTTAACATAACATAACACTTCTTCTGGTACAATTACATAATATTGACATTAACAATCCCCAACCGGGTCCCAGGTCTTCGAAGGTACTGTTACATCAATAACTTGGCTGTATCTGACGCCCAACGAAAACGCCCCCAGCCGCTGCCACACCGCCTCGGGGACAATACTACAATTATGTAGTCCCAGATACAGCCAATGACCTCCCACCTTACCAACAACCTTATAATTGGGAAGGGACACCCATACCTACGATGGGCCCAACCCATAATCCACCAACTTGTCACTCGAGCACCGCCTTCAAAGACCCAGCGACCCCTGCCGGCTACCATGACAAACAGACAGCACCACAGGAGGTCAAAATTGGCCAGCAAGAAAAGAAACAAAGGAAGGAACCCACACCAAACAACACAGGACAAACGCAAAAAGAATAAACAAACCAAACAGGAAGGCTAAACAGCTCCAGGGAGGAAGGGCGGGAGAAACCTCACCCATGCTGTCACAAGCTCTGACTAACCCCCGACAAGTCCCAGCCCCTCTCCTCATCCTAGCAAGACCACCCTCCAGCCCGATTGGTCCAATCCGGTAAGTAACCATCCCCCCTCTCCTATACTCCCCACCCAGATCCCGTCTCCGCCTCGTCAGCAAGCCCCAGTCATGCTGGCCCTCCCTTTAGCTTCGCTCCGTCCAGGACCTGACTTGAAAGGTACTTTGTGGGAATAAAAGGATTCCAACTCCACCTGTCTTTTGTCCACAGTTACTGTATGTGTAAATGTTGAAACAAATACTTTGTGTTTAAATGGTGGCAAGTAATCACATGTCAGATGCCTATAATAGTTATGTGAAGCAACAAATACATTTTTAAAAATGTGTGCTCAACATTGGCCAGCACCCATAAATCATGTTTACAATCAACATATAAATTGTGTGTTTTGGTGCAACTTCAGCTCATTTTTCATGTCCAGTGAACATACCTGTGTGATGAAACATCTTAACATGAGACTTGTATGTGCTCCAGTGGCGCAATCGGTTAGCGCGCGGTACTTATATGACAGTAACTAGTGAGCAATGCCGAGGTTGTGAGTTCGATCCTCACCTGGAGCAGTGTGTTTTATACATGAAAGTATATCTTGTTGCTTTTCCAGTGTGTTTTCTATCCTTAGATCACTTAAAGCGGAGCTCCACCCAAAAGGGGATGTTCTGCTTTAAGGAATGTTCCCCCGCTCCCCATTAAGGATTGGCACCCTTGGGGGGTGAGCGGGTACCTCAATTTGACAGGTACCTGCTCCAACTTCCGGTCCGATCGTCTAGGCGGCCAGAAGCGGAAGGTGTCCTCCCTTCCTGTAGTATTTGGGACATGTGACAGGTCCCAGAAGACTACAGGACCATTCATGAAGTGCAGCGCTACTTGCGCATGCGCAGTAGGTACCTGGCTGTGAAGCCGCAAGCTGTCACACTGAAGATGCCGGCCTCATGGAATACAGGACGGACAGCAGCGGACACACCGCGGGACCGAGGGACAGGTAAGTGGCTGTATTTTAAAAGTCAGTAGGTACAGTTTTTGAGGCTGCTGACTTTAATTTTTTGACAGGGTGAGGGGAACTCCGCTTTAAAACTAAGGCCACATATGGGCCTAACTACTAGACAATATGGGAGGTTGATACAGAAAAAGGTTCAGGAAAGTGGATTTTCTGGGTACTGTCATGAACTTCACAAACAATATATTAATAAAATCACAAAATATTTTATTACAATTTCTGAACTATCCTTTCAGGCCCACATCCAAAGATGGGGGAAAGATTCCAACTTTAGTCCCCGGTCACACCGATACGACTTCCAAATCGTGTGACTTCCAGTGATGTTGCACGATTTCAAAGTCGGATGTCATTCCGACTTCAGGTGCAACTTGCAAGACATCTGCGGCTTGCAAGACACAGATGTCTATGCAAGTCGCACCTGAAGTAGTGCATGCACTAATTTTAAAATCGGTGCGACTCCAACCAAGTCTGAATCGCACCGATATGCCTGCTTTAATTGCAGAAAATAGGGTCGGACTTGCCATGCCATTTGAAACTTGCAGTGCAAGACAAGTCATCTGGTATGACCGGGCACTTAAAGTCAGGATCCACTCGGATGTCTGGACCAGCACCAGTCTCAGCCTTTCAGTGAGCCACTGAGAACAAGAGCCAGCTGCTCCCACCCCTTCCACAGCATAGCGTTCTAGTGAGCGCTGGAGGGGCAGAGCAGAGAGCTGTGACTGACAGTCACTGCTCTCTGCTCAGAGCGGCAAGAAGAACTGAGCGATCAGCGATGTCTGATCACTCTGTTCTCACCCTAGAGCCGGCAGGGTAGAGATGCTGCATTCACCTAGGTAATTATAATTTAAAAAAAAACATACTTCTCTTTTTATGTATTGTTCATGTGTTGTTTGTGAAGTTCATGATGGTACCCAGAAAATCCACTTTCCTCAACATTTTTTTGCATCATACAGTTGGGATGTTAGGCAGTGGCGTCCCGAGGCAGGTGCGGGGGGTGCGGTCTGCACCATTTGACACCAACCACACGGGGTGACACCAGACCCGCTCCACAAAAAAAGTAAGTTGTAAAGCAAGCTGATGATCCCCGCAGTATGGATCCGATCCATCCTGCGGGGATCGTCGGCTTTCTTTACAACTTACCTTTTCTTGGAGCGGGTATAGGTTGCATGCCGACGATCCTGCGGGCCTCCTTTTCATCTGCTGGCTCAGTGGCTCGTGGTGGTGGTGCGATATCTCCGCCGATCACCATGTCTGACAAGCTGTCCTACAAAGTTGCTGACAGGGGCAGGAAGGCCATCGAAATTGCAGAAAACGAAATGCCTGGGCTGGTGAAGATGAAGGAGATGCACTCGGAGAGCAAACCTCTGAAGGGGGCCCAGATTGCCAGTTGTCTGCACATGACTCTCCAGAGACCCAGACAGCACTGGGAGCTGAGGTGCAGTGGTCAAGCTGCAATATCTTCTCCACCCAGGATCATGCTGCTACAGCCATTGCCAAGACCGGGGTACCAGTGTACGCCTGGAAGGGGGAGACCGATGAAGCGTACATCTGGTGCATTGAGCAGACCCTATATTTTCCCGATGGAAAACCACTCAACATGATCCTTGATGATGGAGGAGATCTCACAAACCTTGTTCACACCAAACATCTAGAGCTACTGAAAGGAATTAAGGGAATCTCTGAAGAGACGACCACAGGAATGCACAGCCTGTACAAAATGAAAGCTGAAGGGGCCCCAAAAGTACCTGCCATCAATATTAATGACTCTGTGACAAAAAGCAAATTTGCTAACCTGTACGGTTGCTGAGAGTCCCCGATTGATGGCATTAAGCGAGCCACTGATGTGATGATTGCAGGGAAGGTTGCAGTGGTTGCAGGGTATGTGTATGTTGGAAAGGTTGTGCTCAAGCCTCAAGCTTTAAGGGCCTTTGGTGATCGTATCATCATCACAGAGATAGACCCCATCAATGCGCTGCAGGCAGCCATGGAAGGTTATGAGGTCACAACAATGGATGAAGCTTGTAAAGAAGGGAACATTTTTGTCACCACAACAGGGTGTGCAGACATTGTTGAAGGCAGACACTTTGAGCAGATGAAGGGTGATTCCATTGTTTGCAACATTGTCCACTTTGATGTTGAACTCGATGTGAAGTGGTTAAATGACAACGCTGCCAAGAAAGTGAACATCAAGCCGCAGGTGGACCACTACCTCTTCAAAAACGGACGCCACATTATATTACTTGCTGAAGGCCGGCTAGTAAATTTGAGATGTGCGATGGGTCACCCTAGCTTTGTCATGAGCAATTCCTTCACTAACCAGGTCATGGCGCAGATTGCAACAATAAAGCAAAAGCAGGCCACCAAAGATGACACGAATTACTAATGTCATTAGCATATCTCCGACTCACTTGTATAAGTGTGGATACATAAACCCAAAGAACAACATACTAAGCAATATGATAGTGTGACAAGGACACCCCTATCTGGAAAAGAAGGTTTCTAGATGATCCACGCGGAGTAATATGAATTCAAAAAGAATTTTAACAATACTTTATTTGATCACATAGATCATAGGGAGGTTAAACATGAGCACGGTGTACAAATGAAAAAAATAAAATCATGTTAAAAAACACTTAGCGTCTTCAATTTAGGGTCATCTTAGCCACCGGAGCACCATATAAGGCAGAGTTGTATAATGATGAAATAGTTATCCTGGGTTTCCGTAGGTTTCCCGCTTTATATTTGAGTGAACCATGTATTCAGTGGGTGTGTTCCCAATATATGTCAGGGACCTCCTGGAATGTAAAAGCTGGAACACAAAAATACATAGTATATGTATAGAAATATGGAAACCAAATCACATCCAAAATTCACCAGGCCTCCCTCCACAATAGTCAATGGATACTGCTGTTACCTTCTCAATAGTGAGACTATCATACCCGCTTCTCAAGTGTAGGGACTTCCTGGATAGCCACCCCAAATAAAACAAGGTCCACAGTACCAAATGATTCTGAGGATGTATATAGAAAAAGATAATAAATGTATAGATCATGGGCATCAGGTGACCCCGAAAACAAAACACACACAAAATGTGGATATATTACCATCAATAAGGATCAAGAAGACTCCTGTCGACTTGAAATAAGATCAGGTCCTTGATGCTTCTTCAAAGATGCATATGGGGGTGAGGAACCAGGTATACACGATGCGTGGATTTCAAACACATATAATGTGTATGTAGCATATAGCAGGCCATAGATACCTGAGTTTAATATACCCAATAAAGGGTTTCCAAAAATTGCTCAATTAGAGAAGGTTATTTGCGGTTTTGTAAGGATGTGGCTATGTCACAGCAAAAAATACCTGAGTAGGATAGCGTATATATATATATATATGTAGATTCTCCTCCAAAGAGGATTTCCAAAAAATTCCCCGAGTATACAGGGTAAATTAGGCCCATGAAACATGCCCTATTAACACCATGTAGGCTCTGTAAATCTCAACAGCCGTTAGCTTTAAATAACTTGCCACCGGTGGAAGGTATGTTTCCCTGAGGGATTGCCGTTTGCGAACCGCTGTGATAGTAGCCCACTGGTAGTTCTCAGAGGGTCTAGGGCCTACCTAACAGGGAGCTGTGACACCGCCGTTCCTTCCCGCCTCGTGGGCACCGCACCCAGTGAAGACGCCGAGCGTAGTGACGTCAATACGTTGATGCGTTTTGTCCGCCAATCACCGCAGACTTCGTCAGAACTGGATACGTATTGACGTCACTACGCTCGGCGTCTTCACTGGGTGCGGTGCCCACGAGGCGGGAAGGAACGGCGGTGTCACAGCTCCCTGATCAAATAAAGTATTGTTAAAATTCTTTTTGAATTCATATTACTCCGCGTGGATCATCTAGAAACCTTCTTTTCCAGATAGGGGTGTCCTTGTCACACTATCATATTGCTTAGCATGGCGCAGATTGAACTGTGGACCAACACTGACAAATATCCTGTAGGAGTGTACTTCCTGCCCAAAAAGCTTGATAAAGCCGTGGCAGATGCCCATCTTGATAAGCTTGGAGTGAAACTGACTAAACTTTCAGACAACCAAGCAAAGTACCTTGGCCTAGAGAAGGAAGGACCTTTCAAAGTTGTAAAGAAAGCCAACGATCCCCGCAGGATGGATCGGATCTGCGGATTGAGCATAATGGATCGGAGTCTGATCCATTATACTCAATCCACAGATCCGATCCATTCTGCGGGGATCATCGGAGGGGTTGTCACCAAGTGTTACCGCACCGGGTGACAGCAACCCTAGGGACGCCTCTGATGTTAGGTACCATTAACTTTATATGATTGCCACTTAGATTTTCAATATGGGAGGTTGTCTAACTAGAAGGTTGTGCAGTTTTGGGTTTTTTTATGTGATCCCTTAGAGGGGAGATGTGGGAGAACAGAAGCTTTATCCCAGAGTGGGGCTTTAAGGGTTCATAAATTCACACCAAACTAGCTAATGCTAGGACACACAAATACAATTGTTTTCTATGTGCCCTGTTTACAAAATATACATGCATTGCATAGAAATGCAATCCCTGTACAAAAGTGAAGGCACAGGATGACAACTAAGGGGAAGAAAAGCTGACATACAGGTTTATACAACCTATCCAAGAAGCTCCTCCCTTTGAAAGTCTCCCGAACTCACCCTTTATTTCATTTATTAAATTTGCCTGGTATAAGATTTTTGTTGAAGGGGTTAATTTTATTCCCAGATAGCCTATTTCCTTTTCCTTCCAGGTAAATGGAAACTCTTTTTGAAGGCTTGAACTGTCTTGCTTTGGAATGTTTACATTTAAGATCTCTGACTTTGCAGAGTTTATTTTCAGATTTGACAGCTCACCATATTGTTTTAGCAATCTCATTAAATTAGGCAATGTTATTCTAGGATTTACTATATGGAATAACATGTCGTCTGTGTATGCTGCCACCTTATGCTCCACTTCCCCTATCTTTATTCCTGCTATATCTACACACTGTCTTACCCTCGCCAGAAATGGGTTCCAGTGATAGTACAAATAACAGTGGAGATAGTGGACATCCCTGTCTAGTACCGTTATGCATTTTAAAAAACTCCTAAGAGGGATCCGTTGACCTCAACCGCCGCTGTCGGACCGTTGTAAAGCCCTTTTATCCACTTCAACATTTTCGGCCCTAGCCCTAAGACTTCCAACGTATCAAACATAAATCCCCAGTCAGCCTGTCAAAAGCCTTCTTGGTATCATCGACAGGAATATTGTCGGCTGTTTCTCTCTCTTTACACTTTGTAAGAGGAGCAATGATCTCAGACCATTGTCTTGTCCCTCTCTTCCAGGGACAAATCCTACCTGATCCAGGTGTATCCACTCTGGCATCAATTCCTTCACTCTAGTTGCCAGAACCTTGGCGTATAATTTTGTGTCGATGTTTAGTAAGGATATGGGTCTATAACTAACACACTGTGAGCTATCCTTCCCTTCTTTGAGTATGATAGTTATATGTGCTTGCAGTAATTCTTCTCTCATTTCCATCCCCTCTCCAATTGCATTCATGTAACCACACATTTTAGAAACCAAGAGATCTTTAATTTTTTTTAAAATAGCCCACAGTGTATCTATCCAGAAAGACCAGGGCTCTTTCCAGGGGCCATGTTCTTTAAAGCCAAGCTGATTTCCTCCGGGGTAATAAATCTCTCTAGAGCCTCTAGTTTTTCTTCTGCTATTCTTGGCATCTCCACTTCTTTTATGTTTTTTCTGCCTTTTTCTCTTCTTTTCATTCTCCGTTTCTTTTTGATTTCTGGGGCTCACATCATAAAGCTTACTATTGTATTTTTGGAATCTATTAGCAATATCAGTGGTGGAGTACACCAATTCTCCTTTACCAGTTTGAATTTTATCTATAAAATTTTGGGATTGCTTTTCCTGAAAAGCCTCCGCATTAGGTGTTTTCCAGGTCTATTCCCCCACTGATAACTTTCTTTTGATACCCTATTAAATATCTTCCTCAACTCCTGTTCCGTAAGATCTTTTAATTCTTCTCTTTTAAGGATTATCTTCTTTACTTTTTCCTCCCATTCTTTCTTTTTTTCAGCCCCTATTGCTATCAGTATTCCTCTGATATATGCTTTATGTGCCTCCCAGATTGTGGCCACAGAAGCTTCCTTGGTCTCATTAAACTCCAAAAAATTGCTCTATTTCTAGCCTAAGCCTTTTCTCTATTTCAGGGTCTTGTATAAGCATCTCATTTAGTCTTCAAGTAGTTATTTTGTCCAAATCCACTCCAACCCACAGTCTCATTGTGACAGGAGCATGATCAGAGATAGACATGACCTCTATGTTGGAGCTGACCAGCAACTCCAGGTGTCTATGCTCGATCATTATATCATTCAGTCTTGAGTATGTTCAGTGTACTGGAGAGAAGAAGGCGTAGTCTCTTTCTCTTGGATGTTTTACTCTTCAAGTATCGGTCAATTGACCTTGGTGTAATAACCTCTTCAATAGTTTTACTTTCCTACCACCCTCTCTCTGCGTACCAGATGACGTATCCAATTTCGAATCCAGACACAAATTTTAATCTCCTGCTACCACCAGACTGCCCCTTTTATATTCAGGGATTTTTTTCTAACATATCCTCCAAGAATGTTACTGGGTTTTTATTCGGGAAATAGGTATTAACTACTGTATATTCAATTCCTTGTAATCTTCTCTTCAGGAATAGAAAACGGTCCTCTAGGTCTTCCATTCTACCCTCCAGGGTAGAGCTAATGTTTTTTGAAAACCCGATTGCTACTCCTTTAGCCCTTTTAACTGGGGAATCTGCATAGCACAACCTGGATAGTGTTTCGAATATAACTTTTACATTTGTATCATAGGTTATATGTGTCTCTTGTTGGAACACAACGTCTATGGAGTGTTGGTGTATTTCCCTAAGTATTTTATGTCTTTTTGTCGGGAAATTTAATCATAATTAAAGTCATGAACTTAATAAAGCTAATTTCTGAAGTTTTTTCACTATCTTATCCACTTTCCCAACACAGGGACACTGATATAGAGAACTTAAGATACGAACGTCCCCCCCCACTACCTCCCCCCCCCCACCTATTCCCCTCCCCCATCCCCCTAACAACCACTCTATCCCCTCCCACTCACCCTACCGCTAAAACCCTCATGGCCTACATATTGCCCTGGAATCTGTTGTGAGTTGTTTCCACTGATTCCTAATTTGGGGTGATGCTCAAAACACACATGCCCACTCCAATCCCTAGTTCATATCATTAGTTAGATTGGAGTATGACAGCATGTCCAACCTCCGGGGAACCTGCCTAAACAGAAATTCTCTTTACCCCTCCCTCCCAACCATCATCACGCCTAGGCGGGGAGGGACCAAGGGTAGAGAAACCACAATACAGCCGGGAGAGGACCGGAAGGCGGTGGAGAGAGGAGGAAAAAAAAAAGGGAGAAGGACATCATCCTCCTCACTGAGCAATACCTAGGGACTCACCTCCCCACCCATCCCCAGGCTCCCCCACTCTCCGACCTTACCCACCCGTCCGCTCCCCACTACACCCAGCCTCCCTACTTCTTCTTCCTAGATACCCGCTGCCATTTTCCTACCCCCTGCTCGCCAATCACATTAGGTCCCTCTGACCACCTTCAACTTCTATTTTTTTAAGTCTAACTTCTCACAGAAATCACTGTAGTCTTCAGGGAAACTTAGATTTTCCATCTTTCCAGCCAATTAGGCATGCTGGAAAGCCCCAATTATATCAGATTTTTTTCCCTATCATATGCTCCAATAGCGGTCTCAAAGATCTTCTTCTTGCTAGTGTCTCTAGGGAAATGTTAGCAAAGATATACAACTTTGTTTCCTCATATTTAATTTCAGTAGTATCACGCAGACTTTTCCATACTCTTTCTCTATCTGTGTAATAATGGAATCAAACTATCACGTCTCTGGGGCTATTCACCGATACTCCTAATGGCCGTCTAATCCTGTGTGCTCTCTCAATATGCAGATTTTCTATCACTGGTCTTTCCATTATTGGATTACATACTCTCTTTATTTTTTCCTCTAGATCCTGTTCCTGTTCTTCTTCTGGTAGGCCCCGGATCCTTACATTCTTCCTTCTTTCGCGGTTCTCCTGGTTCTCTACTTTTAATGAAAGCATTCTCTGTTCTCTACGCATCTCCTCCACCTGCATTTCCAATTTATTAATTAATTGAGTATGTGCTTCTATTCTCTCCTCTGCCTCTTCCATTCGCGTTAGTATGCGACCCAAGTCATTGCGCAATACTGCCATCTCATTTTTCAGGCACATTTTCAGTTTTGCAAACATTTCCACCATGTCAATTTTTTGTAGGTATTTGTGGCATAGCCCCCTCCTTTAGCTGATTTGCCCTTCAGTCCTGGTTCAACTCTCTTGTTTCTATTCTTTTATCTCAGGTTTCCTATAACTGTCAGTTATGTAATCACCTGTGCATCCCCGCACTGGGTTTTCTGCTGTAATGCAATAGAATCGTCCCTTGAAGAAAGACCTTTTTCTATTACTTCTAATGATTTTTGCCGCCCCTATTCTGTTACCTTAGTGGTCAGAGAAAGTTAAACAGTTCCACCACGATCTAAGAGAACCACCTGCAGAATAGTGCTCTGTCTCCCCCAAAACTTAGGTGTGTATTTTGATTTGTCTCAAATGCATCAGATATAACATGAGACTGAAAGTCCTATCGCTTCTCGGCCTTTTGGCTAAGATCAAGTGTAGTATCTGTTCTTATCAGTGTCCAGTGGGGGTGCTCCCGGCCATTCTAGCTTTGCGGGGATGGCTGTTGTATAGTACCCTCACTGGTTTGATCGGGGTCCGGAAGGCTAGTACCTGAGGGACAGAAACCGGGGAGTGCCACACGTTAAACTGGGGCCCTGGGAGTAATTCCTCCGGGAAAACTGGAAAGACCCAGTACCTCCTGATTTGAACATATCTGCCTCGGTCTGGCCAGGGGCTGAGGAGGCAGAAAGTCCGCAAACTCGGTGCCCCCTGAGTAGACGCTTTCAGGGGTGCCACTAGTAACACCTGGGTGTGGGACCCCACTGTGTGAACATGGCACATGGTCCCTGTTTTTACATTCTTTTTGCACAGCGCCCTAAGGACCAGGCCTTTTGGCTAAGTCCAGGGCAATTTTTGCTACGGGCCTCAGGGCCTGGTCTGTGCACAATTTGGCACGGTACCACTTTTTTATTTTATATTTATTTAATTTAACACCTCCCACGTTTGTCACTTTT